AGCGTGGAAAAAAGCCACCGGGTAAAGGCTACTATTATCCGGAACTGCGGGGGGGGGGGGGGGAGGCTGATCACACAAACACGCGTCATTTTGGCCCGGGGAAAACAGCCTTGCTTCCTGCCCGCATTTTCTCGCTCGTGTGACCGCAGCCCAGGTGTATTAATATAATCCAAGTTCAGGAAGCACACAATACATATGTTCATGCATTTTCTTTAATTTTTTAAAAAGGAGTAAGCAGACAAAATGTTGTGCTTCCGTGAACACGAAATAAAAACTTTCTTTGTGTAAAACAGTACATAAATCTTGGCTCTTCTTTACTTTTGAATAATACTGCATATAATTCAGAAAAGGGCATTATTGTATCCTGTACATATCAAAAGAAATCATCACAATATAATTGCTTTTTATCTTCACATTTTGTTTCAGAAAATAATCACAGATGTAGTCAATAATTTGAATCCAATCCCCCCCCACATCTTTTTAAAAATAAGTACAAGTGTTAAATGCATCAAGTATTAAATGTGCACATTTACAAGCACAGAAAATTAGAACATTGCTTTAGACCATGCCAAACCACATGTATGTGTATAAAGCTATCGGTGAAATAATTCATAGCAGCAGAGTAGGAATCTTATTCCATAATGAGTATCTGTTGGGATACTTGGATGGAAACAGCAGTCCAAAGTCATGTGAGAATCCACATCTACAAACCACTTTATCAGTGACATTGAAAGCTGCTTTAACTTAAATGAGAGCCTGAGTAGCCTGAAATGATGATACTATGGCTAATGGATGAAACACCACACCCTGAAAGACGTCACTGCATACTTTGGAACACTCTGATGATTTATGAATAGCTCTGATGAATAGCATTATTTCAACTACTTCACAGGTACGAAGCTGCATGTTTTAATGCCATAGCTGTGACCTTCACAGTGATGCTACCATACATTACAGGAAGACAGAAATTGCTTACCTCCAGAATACACTATGCAGCCTGCCTTCCAAAAACTTGGTTTTCTTATGACTGGTACTTACATAATAAAACATGTATTCTAGTACCAGTAATTATTTTAAAAAATGTATAAAATAAATACAAATTTCCATTGCACACATTTATCATTAATTGTGATAGGCAAGAGACTAAAGAGCCAGTAATGCTTGCAGAGGGCAAAGTCTGATTTTATCACCACCCCTGTTCCTGAAGCTGTAGAATATATGGGACAAAGAAGTGAAACAACAAAAAACGCACTGAGAAGATTCTTTTAACATGCATTTTTCACACTCCTTGAAGCACTAGATTAATTACTTTAATAAGTTTTCAAGTGACAAGACCAATCGTTATGATTCTAAAAACTTGTATGTCAGAATATGAATAAAGTGTGACCGACAGTTCAGTTGAAAGATGGCAATTAGCTGGAAACCCTTTTTTGATTCTTTGGGGAAACAAACTGGGCCTAGATATTGATGTATGTAATTATGTCTTTTTAATGTAAGTTTAAATTGGTGATGGTTTGGTTGATAATTTTATCTTTAGTATTGTGGACTATTCATTGTCTATTTGTGGACTAATAGACATGTTTGTACAGTGCTTTTATACAGGAAAATAAAAATGCAAGTTTACACGTGAGAAGCTAGCTAAAGCTGAGAGAACAACTTTGAATGTGCATTTACCACATTAAAAGTATCTAAGTTTTACGTATGGTGATGCTTTCCATTATGCACACAAATGCACTTTAGAAGATTATTAGTAAAGCACCCAAAGGAACAAACACCATATTTTGTTCAGTGGCACATTATTTTAAGTTGTTATCAGAAAAAAAGCACCACACACAACCAAAGCTCTTTGAAAGTTGCCAATAGTCTACTAGCATGAATGAGATACAGAAATAGTACAGATTGGTCTGGTCTATTAATTTAAACAATAAAATGGACGATAAAACCAAACATAACATTCATTCTCCTGTTCAAAGTCTGTTTCCATTGAGATCAAAAGGTCAAATTATAATTCCTTGCCTCAGTGTTGCATATTAACATGCAAAAAAAGGATCAAATTCAATAATATGAAGCAAAATTCATTGTCTGTTGTGGCGAGTTTACATAATCAAGGCTGCTGGACTGAAGATGTCTTAATGTAACTCAATTGCCTCTTAATCTTATCTTAACCAGTCTAACAACCCCCTAATCATAACAACCAGTTGTTGGATTTTTCAATAAAACATGCTTTTAGAGAAACTGGAAATTCTTATATGTTTTAGAGACTGTGTGTCCTAAGCCACAGAGTAGCAAGAACAGCTATTATTTGTGACTTTTTGGGAAATGTCTACTCTAAGCCACAGAGTAGCCATAACAGACATAACAATATGGATTATAACAATATGATCTTTTGTTTGTTGAACAGGCTGTGTTAAAAAGCCATATAAATACTACATATTAGATCACTATCATATTCTTCAATTGTGGGTACTAAGCCACAAAGTAGCCATACCAATATGGAGTATAACTATGATATTTTGTTTGTTGAACAGGCTGTGTTAAAAAGCCATCTAAATACTACATATTAATCACTATCATATTCTTCAATTAAAAAAACATTTTACTACTTTTTGAAGAATGCTTATAGATGACAAAGTCTGATTAAATCATCTTCTACCATTCATTAATATGTCTCTTTCCATTTCACATGCACAAATTTAAACACATTTCCCTGTGAAAACAAAACTACAAACCATGAACTATTTTATGCAGTCATTGGGGTCAAGTAAAAAAGATAATAGGTGAACATTTTAAAAACCACATGAAACAGCACCCATGAATTCAGCCTCTGCTAAGAGTAACAGTTCTTTTAATATAAAAATAGTTTTGATAGTTAACTGAAGAAAAATAATAATTTTCTAGTGACCATTTCTCAACACATTTATAGAACTGTGGTAAGCAGGTCAAGCATAGCAACAAGTTTATAGGATGCAGTGCTTTTTCATTTTGTCTCAGAAAAATGATTTGTCAGGTATTTTTTATAAGTAAAAGATATGAACTCCATTAGCGATTGCCACATTGCTGCAAATATCCTTTAAGTGCTACAGGTATACCCATGAGTTATCTCATGCTTAGACACAGTATTGGAACTAGACTAAATTTTGTACACACATAAGACACTTCTTTCAGTCAAACAGAAAGTCTTTGCCTTTCCCCCTCCTGTTGCAGCCCACTGACCTCCTTGCTGATCCTTGCGGACAGTGTAGGAATGGCGTAACAGAGAAATTTGTGGTTTGCAGCAGGAAAGGGGAAATGGTGGAAATTATACCTATCCTTCCATCAGTGGAAAATTTAGTCTGGATTCAATTTATAATACTGACCTTTTTCATGGAACAGGAGACTTTTATAATTTCAAAAGGAGCTTGCATGAGCTATGGGAACACCTGTACAATAAACATGTTCAAAGCCAAACTAGGTATACAGTTTCTGGATTATGGCCAATGGCAACATCAGATATCAGACTCAGATAATTGCTTACAAAGGCATCGTGTCCCAGGCCTAGGGCAGCAGGTTCGCCAATTGTCATAGACTATCCGGGATAATTTAAGTTTGTACTATTGTTTCACCCAGTATAAAAACCTATGGTACATAAGAACAGAACATAAAGGAAGCCAATGTTGGATCAGGCCCATCCAGTCCAACACTCTGTCACAGTGGCCAAAAATACTAGGTGCCATCAGGAGGTCCAGCAGTGGGGCCAGGACACTAGAAGCCCACCCACTGTTGCCCCCCCAAGCACCAAGAATACAGTGCATCACTTGCCCCAGGCTGAGAGTTCCTATCTATACCTTGTGGCTAACAGCCACTGATGGAGCTCTGCTCCATATGTTTATCTAATTCCCTCTTGAAGCTGTCCATATTTGTAGCCGCCGCCACTTCCTGTGGCAGTGAATTCCATGTGTTAATCACTCTTTGGGTGAAGAAGTACTTCTTTTTATCTGTTCTAACCCGACTGTTCAGCAATTTCATTGAGTACCCACGAGTTCTTGTATTGTGAGAAAGGGAGAAAAGTACTTCTTTCTCAACCTGCTCTATCCCATGCATAATCTTATAAACCTCGATCATGTCACCCCTCAGCCGTCGCTTCTCCAAGCTAAAGAGCCCCAAGCGTTTTAATTTTTCTTCATAGGGAAAGTGTTCCAACCCTTTTATCATTCCAGTTGACCTTTTCTGCACTTTCCCCAATGCTATAATATCCCTTTTGAGGTTTAGTGACCAGAACTGTACACAGTACTCCAAATGAGGTCACACCATCGATTTATACAGGGGCATTTTGATTATGATACATGCTCCTCATATACCCTTTTTCTCTGCCTGATCACAGACTTGCATTTTATTTGCCACAGCCTGTGTTCCCTTTTATCAACCTCACTGAAACTAGCTTTCCAATGCTTAAAGGAATCCTTCTTATGTTTTACAGCTTCCATTACTTTGTTTGTTAACCATGGTCTGAGGATTATTGTTGAGGTTTGAATGTAGTGACATCTAGGAAATCTATTTGACAGCCAACAGAAAGTTTCTGATGGACACCAATGGCAACTGGATCAGGCCCAAATTCAGAAAGCTACATACTGAAACAGAGTTACAAATCCAAAGAAATTCCCTTAAGATATTAATATAAGGACACTGTGTTCACTTTATATACATACAGTAGAAGCTGAAATGGTCTGAAATGCATTCAAATTAGAAAGTGTATAACTATACAACACCATGCTTTTTTAAAAAAAACCCAAAGTATAAAAGTTTTACAGCACATTATACAGGTCCTTCTAGGATCTATAAACACTTATGGGAATCACCATATTACAAGTCATCACTAACAAACAATTCTATTTCTTTTTTGATATATATATATATAATATTTATATTTGTTACTTATATAATAATTAAAATCACTTTTGAACAAGTATACAAGGTTCACTTTAAAATTAACCTGTTAATAAATTTGTGCAAAATAAGCCGGGCCTATAATTAAGTGGAGAGTTCTATTTACTTTCATTTATATAAAAAAAATCAAATGAGAGTTCTTTCAGAAGTGCGTCTCTTTTTCTGTGATGGTTGAAATATTGCCATCACCTTTCAGTTTGGCATCATAGTCATTTACTGTAGCTGCATATGAACCTGCTCCAAGCTTTCCTCTCATTTTCAAATCTGGGCTGGCCACAATCAGCTTTCTGAATTTCTAAAAAATGAAGAAATTAAAAATGCTAGTTATCAGGAAGACTTAGACAAATATTATCTAATTTACATATATGAGGACATATGTATGTACACATTTACTTTCTCTTATACATTTATTGACTGAGACTAGATCATACTACTGACACTTCTGGTCTGTCAGGGTTGCACAACTTGTAAATGAAGCCTTTTATGATGACCTGTCAGGGTTTCCTGTTATTGCTGCCTGCTTGGAACTGGTAGGAAAAAACCCACAAGCAAACCCTGTGATATGAACAACATTTATAAGATTAACATTGCTATTCTAAAACTTTACAAAAGTGGAACAATTTATCCATTATTCTCACTTATACAATATTGCACCTGAAGCTTCAAATTGAGTTTTATTGATTATGGTTTATTCCAGGACATTATGAAGGAAATTAAGATTTTACAATGCTGAGCTGGATTTAAGAAGCTGACACCTCCTTTAAATATTGGATTACGTCTGAAGAAGACTTTAAAGTTGAAATGAGTTCACAACCGGGTACTCATTATGTTGGACTATGTGTACTTTTTTTGCAATATTGTATAAGTGAGAATAATGGATAAATTGTTGCACTTTTGTAAAGTTTTACAATAGCAATGTTAATCTTATAAATGTTGTTCATATCATAGGGTTTGCTTGTGGTTTTTTCCGATGGATATCTGTGATCCCTTTTGTTTTGTTTTGTGCTGGAACTGGTAGGATGCAATACACGGTGGGTTATTGCTTGGCCTGGTGAGTCACAAGTTGTGTAAGCTTGTATTGGACTTTTCTACTTTCAACCTATAGAAAATTATGGCTTGTATCCAACAAACTTTGAGTGGTGTAAAGCTTGCAAGATGAGGCTTCCCCAAATCTCCCCAGCCACTGAACCACCCAAAATTCTTCTTCTAAGGATCAGGGGACCATGATGAACAACATGAGAGACACAGGGGGGACTGCAGTGGGAGAGGGCAACTGACAAAAATCACCCATCCTCTGCTGATGGTAGAAACTATCCACCGGATATAAGCCATTAAAATGCATTTACATCTTCGTTTTATTGTATGGTAAATATTACTGAGTCTTAAGTTTCCTCCAGCCTCACACTTTTCTGTATGCCTACACTGAATCATAGTCTGAGGACTGGAAAGGTTTTAATGGATTGTGTTGCTGCAACTCTTGTATCTACTATAGCCAAGACAGGTGTCTACCTGTTACTCTTCTAAATCCCTCTGATAAAGGAAGTGGCATAACGTCCCTTGGTTTGTTATATTTTTATATATTCTTTACAATGTTTAATTTAACTAAATTATTTCTGATGCTTAACATATGTTGAAATGAAACAAACTACAATTCACCATAGTTGCTCTCTTCTTCATAGCTGTCACTATGATCCTTCATACAATCAAAGTCAAAGTATATAAATGGATTGCTGTATACACTAAGGACTACTGCATTAAAGGAACTGCTACGGGTGCACAGACACCAACCTTACACAGAATATTCAAGCACTCAACATGACTTGTTCCATAGTCTTCTATTTGTCATTGTTTTATTATATTTAACAACATAATTACAAGTCTTACCTCTATGATGGTTCCTTCTGTCTTCCACAACTTAACACAGATCCACAATGGAATACAAACCATGGAGGAAAGAGCCATCATCCACCCTATACCATAGCCCCAATCTGGGTATGTATATACATTGTTGTATTTCAAAGGCTTATACTTCACCAAGAAAAAGATGAAGATTCCCTAAAAGAGAGTGGACTGCATTTATTCATGCTGACAACAACGACAATGACAAAGCAGGTAATTTCACCCTGGAACACCAAAACACTATGGTAAGCTTTGAAGACAGAGAAAAGTAGGCCACTGTTGGACTGGATTCTATGACTCCCTTCTGCTGAGGAAGCCTTCATCAGACAAAACATTCCAGCTTCATTCTGCAGAAGCATGGCTCTTTCCTTTGTAAAAAGGAGATACAGAATCCAACTCATTGTCTTTTTCAACATCTCACTGAAATAACATGAGTTCATTTACAGGAATAAGCCATGTTTAGTATTTAAATGTTAATTAGCTTTCATTTAATGATCACAAAAATTGGTTCTTCCTAATTTGATAGCATGCTGCAGAGACTAAATTGCATGGGAGACTGAAGCCAGGATCCAAAGAGCTGCATGTCTGAGTGAAAACCCTTCTGGGTTGCAGAGTTCCTCCCTTGGTATTGTCCCTATTGCCCAGTCCTCAGGAGCAGCTTCTTGGAGACACAAGAGGCTGTAACAACAAGAGGAGAAAGGAAGCCAGTGCTTGTGGGCCATGGCCCTTTGGATCCTAGCTTTTATTTAAGCTTATTCAGAAAAAGATCCAGCACTAATAATATTATATGAATATTTGTGGTACAGTGTAGACATTTTGATAAATGGTTCACCATGAGGTCAGAGGTACTATGTGATCATATGTGAAAAAGCCATCATGCCCTCAAACTTTGACTGCATCAGCTTCCTTACTTGTAATGACTATTTCCTGCTTCTGTGCTCATCTCTTTAAGATGTGGGAACAGGAATGAAATATTAGGTTTAGTTAAGAATAAGCAGGTTGCAAAACCTATATGAAAAGAGATGTCCTTAATAATACTGTGGAGGTCAGCGGTTTGAATATATGGAAGCCATATCTTTAAAGAACAGAAGGAAAACTTACTGGCATATGAAAGAAATAACACAAATAACATTGGTGTTGACAGAGAACTGAAAACTTGGTAACCCTCAGTATAACTTTAACTAATAATATTATATGAAGATTTGTGGTACAGAACAGCCTGGCAATACTAATTAAGGCTTTTTTTAAAAGGAAAAATAACAGAGAAAACAGTTGGAATGCAATGGGTTGTTCATAACTTCATCTGGATGGTCCATAAAACAGAGTGAAGAAATCATGGCAATAAGTTAGGTAAAGGTAAAGGTAAAGGTTCCCTTGATCGAAAGCCAGTCGAATCCGACTCTAGGGTTGCGGTGCTCATCTCCGTTTCAAAGCCGAAGAGCCAGCGCTGTCCGAAGATGTTTCCGTGGTCATGTGGCTGGCATGACTAAACACCAAGGCGCACGGAACGCTGTTACCTTCCCACCGAAGTGGTACCTATTTATCTACTTGCAATTTCTTGCTTTTGAACTGCTAGGTTGGCAGGAGCTGGAACTAGAGATGGGAGCTCACTCCATCATGCGGCACCCGGGTCTCGAACTGCTGAACTACTGACCTTCCACAGCCTGCAGTTCAGCATCTTAACCACTTGAGCCACCGCAGGCAATAAGTTACTACTATGCAATTAGCCAGAGAAAAGTTAATATTTAATTAAATATTAGATTATGTTTGCTTCATTTAGGAAAATGCATGTGGATGTAATTTCAGGAGAACATCTTCAGGGAAGGCCTTGCCAAGACCTTTAGCTCTGCTATGTGAATCATGCTTTTATTACTTACAGCACAAATGCCAGGAGTGAGGAACATCCAACACCATTTAATTAATGCCAGTGGTCTATATCCGATCATATCTTCAATGTTGTCATAAAAACGATTGCTTCCTGCATGAAATAGATATGAGAAAGTTAATACAGAACAAATCTAGTGCCCAAATTTCTGGGGTAATGTAATAACATTAAGTGTTATGTCCTTTGTCTCAGTGTGGGGCAAGACTAGCCACTGCCCCCCCCACCTTTTCACTGTCACTGCCACCACCTTGGGGGAAAATCCAGCCCCTCTCTTTCATGTGGGTTGCTCTGAAGACAGCCTCATAGGGGTGTCATACTGTAGCATACCAAAAGCCATGCATGTGGATAAGGACTTGTGAAGACTCTTTCTCCTCTGTCATCCTTCACATTAAACTGGTTGATATACATCTACCACAAGCATTCCCAGAGCGGCCTTCAACCAATCTGGGTGCCAAGTCTTGAGACTCAAGCCCGCCAAACCTGTGCCCTCCAAACAAGAATTGTTAACCAACAAAGGGCTAGTTTGTTCTCACTCAGTTGGAAAAGGATGCTCGCTATCCGGGAACAGCACCTTCCCCCCTTCTTCCCAATCACAGAAAAACCTGGGCTCCTTTCCATCACCATAACTGTTACAGCATCTCTTGCCCCTCAGCTCAGTAAGAATGTGTGATTTCACTCTTAAGTTTTAGTACTTTATAGATTCAGGTGAGTAACCGTGTTGGTATGAAGCAGCAGGACAACATTTGAATTCAGTGGGGCACCTTTTAGATCAACAAAGTTTTATTCAAGGTATAAGCTTTCGTGTGCACGCCCACTTCTTCAGGAAAGCATGAATACATGAGTCAAAGGCAGAACATAGAAACTTCAACAAAGAAACAGTAGTTTTCCTTTTTGGTGAACCTCTGCCAATAAGATTGTTAGAGTTTTCTGTTCAGAGAACATTTTCTTATCCGCCAAGAGAGGTTTCTAAATCCAAGTGTGCCTTTACACAGAATCTACAGTGGAAAAACATGTGAACCAATGTTTCAATCAGGTTAGCAGATCAAGGACAAAATCTACAATTAGATGGATTTTTTTAAAACCTTCCTGACAGGAGTGCAGATGATAGCACATTAAATCTAGCCAACATAAATGCATGGTGATGTCTTGGAACTGTTAATATAGATAGGTAATGTACACATTGATGTGGGATCACTGGAGCTAAGTTAAATAGTAGACGAGAGTATTGATGTGGGATCACTGGAGCCAGGGGTCATTTTGTAGAAAAAAAAAGCTAGGGGAACTCATTAGCATGCAAACACTGAGGGCTTTAACCAATGTTTCATGGAAATCAATATCCTTTATATGGTCATTAATTGCTAAACTAGCTTTACGTAACCCTGTGGGTTTTCAAAAGGGAGAGGAAAGACCAAAAACAGTCAATTTCTTGTCTACTGGGTTGAGTCAAGTTGGTGTAAAAAGATCATTCAAAGTTGCTAGCCAGGACAAATTTATAAGTGATGTAAAACCAGTTTCTAATCTAAGGACCACACAGGGAGCACACTTAGACACCTTAGGAATTTTTCTCAAGAACTTGAATTTACTTAGTTCAATGGAAGTAGTAATTACTTGTACCCAAACTGGAGTAGCTAGTTAGTGATCTTAGTAGTAAATAGTTGGAGCACTGCTGAAATATACTGTGTTCCCAGCTATGTATATGTATGTGTGTGTATATATATATATCTCCAGCCTCCCTTTTGGCCCTCACTAGGATAGATTCAATATGCAATTTCCAACATAATTTGTCATCAAAAATAACCCCACAATATTTATATGATGGAATGTGTTCAATTTTATATTCTCCTACCATCCAGCTATTTAGTTGGTGAGAGACAGTTCCAAAGGAAATAATTTTGCGTTCATCGATTTTTATAGAAATTTCATTTTTGTAACAATACCTAAATAATGCCCATAAGGCTATTTTTCATCCCACCTTTGTTAATGAAATAATTATCATATCATCTGCACACAATAGTGCAGAAATTCTTTTATTGCTCAGTTTAGAAGAAAATACATTCTCTGCCTGAAAAATATTTGTTATGTCACTTAAATACAAGTTAAATAACAAGAGCCAACACACAACCCTGTCAAACTCCTTTACACACTGGTATATCTGTAGTAAGATGACCAAATTGATTACCATGTACTTGTATTGTTATTGTAATGTATCCATCTCCAACCATGTGTGAGGCTAGGTCTCCACGCGGTCATGTGAAGCGCCTGAGCTTCGCTTCCAGAGACAATGGCCCAAGCGGATCCTAGCCCGCGCCACTCAGAGGGCTAGGCTTCCGCCTGTGAGCCTATGGAACTCTCAGCCACGGTTATAGCCTATCACGAGTGTGAGGTGTGTTTGGGTGTGGGGTTTATTGCACATATAAGTCGGCCTGCGAGCCGGGAGTCTTGTCTTATTTTTCCCTGGAAATAAAGTATGAGAGCTGAAATCACTAGTAAGTCTCAGTACTTTTCAGTTATGTTATGATGAAGTGACTGGAATAAAAATAAAAGTCTGAGATCACAATTTTTCACATATTTTGTTGAATGCAGCCTGGAAATCAATAAAGGACACATGTAGAACACTGCCTTGTACATAAATATGTTACCATCTTCAGGGATGGCATCTTACCATCCCCAAAGAAGGGAAGCATGGTTTCATGAATCCCATATTACATACCATTTATGTTACTACGTTTCACTTGTTGATACATCTTTTAACAGACATGCATCTAAGTATAAAACTGCTTAGAAAACAAAGAATGTGTGCTGGTTCCAATGCAAAACCCTATACCCAAGGAATAACTCTTAAGGCCAATCTACATATCACAATGAAGTAAGGTAAGAGAAAGTGCATTTTACTTGTGTTTCTTCTAATTATGATTTGGCTGTTGTAGCATATGAAAAAGGAGCTATTGGGATGAGATGTGCAGGCTAAAGACATGAAATAAGTATATATATTTCAGCCCCACTTTCTTTTTCTTATGTTACAGCAGAAGAACGGTTAGAGAAAACACAGCTTACTTGTGCCTCCTCTCTCACTACAAAATAAAACATGAAATCAACCTTAAAACTGTTCCAAATTACACATGGATACCATATGTAACAACTATTAATCAGAAATGGAAATAAATACAGCTTTCTATACGGAAATAATGTGAACTAGTGAAAGCTCGATATCCACTCTGAAAGTGTACAATGTGATTTCAGAAGTACCCCTAATATAGCACAACTGATGACTCACCATAAAACCATCCAATGCAGACACATTCAAATATAGCAACAAAGAGAAGGCACATCCCACTGGCTGCATAGGAATCAAACAGCTGGAAAACATACATTCCACCCTGAAAAAGAAACAAAAATGTAAATAATGGTAGATGATGGAGCAGGATATTTTGTAGTTCAGGTAAATCTTGTTAAGGTCTATGTCTCCCCCCACCCAATAGCATCCTTTTTAAATTATTTGGGCTAGAATAAAATGGGTTTAGTATTTCAGTATGCATTTTCTTTTGGATTTGTGCTCGTTTTATGCTGTAATGCATCCCATGCTTTAAGGTGCTTTAATTTTAAAAAATTGCCATACTAGTTGGAGAAAACCCTTTTTGGATATTTGGAAACATGTTTTGGTACCCTGTCTATAGATTGAAGAATGTACAAGAGATGGAAGGAGGATCTGACCAATTAGTTAAATCCCAGAGAACTTTCAAAGTGCACCATGGAGATCCTTTCACACCAGTTGTATCTTCAGGCCATTCTGATTAGGCAACCCACTGATAAATATCAGATTAAGTGGCAATCCCTGCAGGACATCATTGCCTGATAAGCAGTTACTTTCTTTCCCTGTACCATCTGCCTTTAGCAATTAACATTCAAATCTAGCATGGCTAACTCCAAACCTAATTTCCCCACTGGCTGGACCCAAAGTAGAGCCAGGGTTTCCTAATACTCCCAAAACACAGTTCTGTCTCTCAAAGTGTTCTTTTGAAAAAGAAGTGCATTCTTCCTAAAGGGGGGTCATCCTCCTCCTCTGGGTTATGCCCCCTACTTGCTTTAAGGCAGGATTTATGCAAATTAAGCTGATCCCCCACAGTAGGATGCAGACGTTCCCTAGTTAGAAAGCCCTCCTGCTCCAGGCAAGTCTTGTTTAGCCAGCTCCATCTTGTAGGCCCAAAATAGAGTGAGTGAGAGAGAAAACCTCATTTATTGGGGCCTTTTGGGGTAGTTTCTTCCTGCCATTTACTATGCCAAAGACAGTTTAAAAATCTTCAACTGCCTCAGGAGTCTTAAATTTTCTTGCAGCAGCAACCAAAAGGAAAAAGGCCAAGGCCTCTTTGAGGGCTGTTTCCTCACCACTGACCTCTACAGAACCACACTAGGCCAAGCCATAGTCAAACCAAGCATGTTATTAAATACTGGCTTCTATTGTGTGGTTGTGGCACTTGGCTAGGATTGCCTGTGGATAATAGCCCCGAGGTCTCCCCAGGTTCAGCATTAGCTTTGGTTTTGGCCTTTTGGTCTTTCAGCATTCAAGAAGAAGAAAAAGACTAGCTTTTTATACCCAGCTTTTTCTCTACTTTAAGGAGTTTCAAAGTGGCTTACAGTTGCATTCCTTTCCTCTCCCCACAATAGGCACCTTGTGAGGTAGGTGAGGCTCAGAGCATTCTGAGAGAACCATGACTGGCCCAAGGTAACTTAGCAGGCTGCATGTGAGGGAGTGGGAAATCAAACTCAGGCCCCGGCCACACAGCAAAGTTGCCGCGGGAGAGGCACGGAAGTCCTGCGGATTTTCCGGGCGCGATCTCACCCCAACATCTGGGAAGTGCAGTGCTCCCATGGTGAACCCGTGGCTCCCCGCCAAAGGTGCGGAGTTAAAAACTAGTACCTACGAGATACTAGTTTCCGGAAACTGCGGGCCAAGGGCGGGCGTCTGATCGCATTCCTGGTGGACTTACGTGGCATCCGGCGCCCGCTGCTGTTCGTCTCCACAGGTTGTGCAACAGCGCCCAACATCGCATGCGCACAAAGAGCGATTTCTAGTGCGATCGTGCGGCGCGGCTTCTGTGCCGCGCTGCAGGATACCCATCTGATCGGCATTTCCCTTGAACCACGGGACCTCGACCGGAACATGTGCTCGGGCTGCCGTACGTTAGTTTCCTCTGGGGCAATTAGCCACGCCTCCCCCCGCAATATCCGTCCCATTTGACCGGGGCCTCAGTTTGTCAGATTAGAGTCTGCTGCTCTTAACTACTACACCACACTGGCTCTTGTGGGCCTCTCTGTCCCTCCCTCTGAGGTCTCAGTTGGGATGGGCACACAGGCAGTTTCTGGATCAACCCCAGCTTCAGTGGTAGGCTAGGATGGCCCCCCCTTTGGCTGTACAGTGCCTGTGCACGTGGCTCTAAACAGTGCAGCTTTGGCAATTCTCCCAGACCTGTCTTCCAATTTAGTGGGGATGCTGCCCTTTCCCTTTTATGTGGGTTTCCCACCTTTTCTAAGCACTTCTGATTGGTTGCAGCAGGGCTTCAGAGGATTCCCTCAGATGCCCTTTTTGCCATACTTGCCCAATCCTCTTGCTTCAGAAGCCACCCCCCCCCCCCCGGGGTTTTTTCCCTGGCAAGGGAATATTCTACTCAGCCACAAGCAGTTTTCAAAAGGAAAAGTGGGAAAGCAAGCCCCACAATTGGTGCTGTAGTGACCAACACACTCTTTGTTCAGATTCCTCTTCTTCTCAGGAGGCTTCCTGTACATCAAAAAGATGCCCTGACAGGTGCAGTGGAGGTGTTGAATTCCCTGTCCAATCATCTGGTGAATCCTTAGATTCCTGTCTAGAGCCCAGGGCAATAGCCTAAGGGAAGGGCCCACTCTCATAGTGCTTTTGAACCCTCCACCATCTCTGAGGGCAATCACCATGAATCCAAAAGGTATGAGATACCACTGCCATCTACTGAGCATAATGAGGAATGATACTTGGTCATGAAAACTGAGTTGATAGCTTCTGTCAAAGAAGGGAAATGGTGAGGGGAGGACATCCATATCCCTGAAATGTCCACTAAATTATTCCAGGCAGAACATTTTACCATACTTTTTACCCAAAGACATTCACATTCTTAACTATAAACAGGATTCTGCAGATCAGGATAAACCCTTAGCCTTTTCCAATCTAGACAAGCAATGCTCTAAGAAACCAGTGTCTGTTTCATCTGTTTGCCCCTTCCCTGAGCATTTTGAGGAGGCTATGAGATCAGAATGTATTGTGCATGGTGGATGCAACAGTTTGCTTACTATAGCTAAAAAAAACCCCCGTACTCTCTTCAAAAAACCTACTCTCTTCCTGGCTCTGTAACGGAGGACTTAAAAGTCCCTTTTATGGATGCCACGATGGCTGCTCTGTATTCTGGGGCTGTGTTACCTAAGGATGGAGACAATGTCTTAGAAGAACCCACAGACAGGGGAAAAAAGGTAGCATGAAGCCTCCTTCCCAACTTTTAGAACTTCTACAGTTCTCTCCAACTTCTGAAGCACCATTGTGATATCGGTGGATGACCTTCTGCAAAACCTGAACCTAGACCCACTCGCCAGCAAAAGGACATTGCTGAAGATCAAAGGAGCAGCAGAGTTCATGGTGGCCAACTCTTAGGATGGTCTCCAGTTCCTGAGCTCAAGCAGCCAACATTGTTATTTATCACAATCTGTGGCTTAAACACTGGAAAGTTGGCCTTCTTTCCAAGTCTAATCTCTCAACTGAGAAATTCTTTGGCCAAAAGCTCTTTGGAGATTCGGCTTTGGAAAAGGTTTTGGTCAAAGCCAAAGAAAAAAGGAAGGCTATGCCATCTAGCACCTCTTCTACCATTAGAGACAAGAATTCTTGGAACAGATCACAAGGTTCCTTTCATTTCTTCCACTCCTCTTTCAGGAGAACGAACAATAGAGACAACAGAAGTAGCAGGCCATACTGGGATATGTTGTTGTTGTTCAGTCGCACAGTCGAGTCTGACTCTTCGCGACCCCATGGACCACATCATGCCAGGCCCTCCTGTCTTCTGTCATGCTCCGGAGTTTGCTTAATTTCATGTTCATTGCCTCAATAACACTGTCTAACCATCTCATCCTTTGCCGTCCCCGTCTTCTTTGACCTTCAATCTTTCCTAGCATCAGGGTCTCCTCCAGTGAGTGCTCCCTTCTCATTTGGTGGCCAAAGTATTTGAGCTTCAGCTTCAGTATCTGGCCTTCCAGGGAACAGTCAGGGTTGATTTCTTTTAGGATTGACAAGGATATGAACAAGTCCCAATCTGCAGCTACTCGTCTGTCCAGAGCAGACAATCATCTGTTCAACAAAAAGTTCTGCTCCACCTGTTTATATAATAGGGAGTAGGCTTAAGTTATTCAGTCACATTTGAAGCATATCTATGCAGGACAGATGAGTCAGGGAAATTATTCAATATGATTATAAGATAAAGTTTTTACGCCATCTGCCCTTCAGGTTTATGCCTTCTCCCAGAGCTGGGAATCCTCAGAGGCATTCCTCTGATGCCATTTCTTATGAATTGGACACATAGAACAAGAGTCTCAGAATCAACTTTTCAAATCCTGATGTCTGATGCCATTTCTTATGAATTGGACACATAGAACAAGAGTCTCAGAATCAACTTTTCAAAGGAGTGTATTCCTTCTTTTTCCTGGTGCTTAAGAAATTGGGCAAATGGAGAACAATTCTATCTGAAGTCCCTCAACAAGATGGTCATCAAACACAAATTTCAAATGGAATCTCACAGATCCATTCTAGAGGCTCTCCACTGAGGCATTTTTAAAAACTCAACTGACCTCACGGAAGCACACCTATATGTTTCTATCCACCCTACTTGCAAGCAATTTCTTCCCTTTGAGAACAATGGCTCTCCCTACCACAAACAGATCCTTGGCATCTGGCCTATTATCACCTCCAGAGTATTTGCAAAGGGTTGTCATGTATGTCCCTATTTGGACAACCTGTTGAAAAGGTCTTCATCCATGGAATGCACACAATGGGATCTAGAAAAGAGCCTCCACTTTCTGTATCTTCATGGTTTGTCAGTAAATCCCTCCATGAGTGACATTATCCCAAACTATGTGGTGATATTGATAGTCACCTCCTGGTGAGAGGTTTTTCTTACAAAGGAGAAACTTGGAAAACTAATCCAGGCGGTTCAGAAACTTACAACCAAGAGGTCAGAAAATGTCACGGCCCTAGCTAAAATTCTGGGCCTCGTGATTTTGTCCATGGAAATGGTTTGGTCGGCTTGTCTTCACTCTTGTCCCCTCTTATGTTCCAGTAGGCCATTCTAAGCCATTGCCACAGAAGAATTCC